TGTGATGGTCATCTCTACCCAGCCTGCCTGAAAGAACCCCATGCAAACACCACCCGTTTTATTTCTCAGAAATTGAAAGCTGCCTAGCAGATGGCAAGGCAAAGACATCTGAGATGGGCCCTGCAGCTTCCTCTACAGGCACCTGCAGGTTCCAGTGCTGCCACCCTATGCTCAAGATGCAGTTTCACAAGCTGGCTAAGCCACCCAAACCATCATCAGCCCTAACAGTAAGGCGAGTTGAAAATCTTAAAAGAAAACCCTAACTTTTTGTGAAGTAACTTACAACCAGATAAGCACTTGACCTCAGATATCAGCTACTACTGGTGCTTGGGAATGTGAAAGCTTTTTCCTCTGGTGGCAAGGAAGTCCAAGACTGGTGAAGGCCTTTCAGGGAACTTGACTCTTTGTGTGCAATGGTTTGGTATCCCACTGATAAACTGCTGAGATATTAAGTCTTCACTTACCTACATCTGACAATAATTTGCATCGCTTGGAAATTTCCAGCTTCACACATGGCCTCAAAATCAGATCTGATGTTCTCAAAATGAAGTTTGCGCCACATTTCCCAATGTCTGCAGAGCTGGTCACACGGCACTGACTCTCCTTTGTCAGCTAAGTTGCATTAGACAGAATCTAAAAATACATAAAATACTTTCTAACATTACTTTTTGACACAAGCAGTTACTATAGCTGCCACAAGGATGTTGCAAGAAAGGGCAAGCAGTCATGCAACTCCTGCTATTCAGCTGGGATATGTACACTGAAAGGACAAAAGGCCTTGGAATGTGCTATTTTTGTTTCAGTATTTGCCTTAACATTGTTACTTTACAAAAAATATCAAAAACTACTTTATAAGAAATATCAAAAACAAGTTCAAGACCTTAAATGAGCAGATAATGTCCTTTTACTTCAAGGACACTAATTTAGCAGGTACAAAACCTATCTGCAATGAGAAGCTCAGAGAAATGCTGCCTAATATTTGAGAATATGCCAGATACCAGGTTGCCAAGAAAAAACAGCATCTGAGCAAGCTGGTCTGGTGTTTAATGAGAGTGTTTTAATAGTACTGGCAGCCCATCAAATCGTGTGTATCAGGTGAAATAAAGCAGCTTTTCATACCATTTGCACAGATACATCTCTTTTCTCCTCAAGAAGCATCCAGCTTTTGTGTTCATTAATTTACACAGTATATGTTTACAGGAGGTAGATCAGTACTCCTGAAATAAAGGCAAACCAAGGCACTGGAAGATGAACCAGTTTGTGTTTTCTTGCCAAATATACAGTATCAGAGACTGAAATGAAAACCAAGTTCCCAATAATCACAGCTCTAGATATCGACCCCAAGCTTCCACCCAAACACACCAAGATGTCCTTTAGCATTAGTCTCTTTACTGCTTGGCTATCTGAATCATGATGGACTCTGCAGCCCCATGTAGCTGAAAAAAATCCATAAAATTCTTCAGTGTCAGCAAATTGGTCTTCAAAGGAGGGAGAATTTAAAAAGTAATACATTACTTGATGAGAAAGCAAACAACTGAATCTGAATAACCATTCCCTGTACTTCTGCTGTCACTTCTGTAGAGCTGCTATGGCTACTATTGTGATGTGCTTCTGTTCTGTATTACTTCATTTGATAAAGTACAGAATATGGATCATTTAATTAGTGTAATCCTGATCTCCAGAACAAACTGTTCATTCTGTTGAACAAATCAGCACTGTCTTCGTATAATAAAAGCAGACTAATCTTGAGAGCTAGTGGAAGAATTCATTCACCCACCTTCACCTACAGCGCAGTTTGCTCAGCCCCTCTGTACATCCCTGTTGCAAAGGAGTCCAGTGTACATCCCTGTTGCAAAGGAGTCCAGTTCCAGGGCAACTTAGGAGAATCCTTCCTTGGACATTCCTCAGTAGAGACAAATTCATCTCTTAAATATAGCATAGATTTACTGTGCTGTTGTAACTTCCTCAGTTCCTTCCTGTTAACTGCAATACACCGTTCAATCAACACACTGCTCAGTAAGTAAATAATCTGTAAACCTCCCATGTTCATTTTGTACACACCAAATAAAAAAAATACTATTTGTGAAGATCCTGGCAGAAGGAAGTTCATAGCAACTCCTAGTTCCCAAGGAAAGTTGACAAATACTAGTGAATTATCAACATATTTCAGTAAAACTTCAGTAGCAGTTCTAAATTAATCCTTATCCCTCTTCTGCACTCTTCAAAATATTCCCACAAAGTTAAAAAGAAAAAAAAAAACCCTACTTTTTTTTCAAGGTCTGTATTATATGTGTTCTTTTATATCAGTTTTATATCAAATCTTTCCACCCTCTTAGCTGCAAACTTATCTTGCTAAAAGTGCTGCATGAGCAATCCCTTACTAGCACTCAGTACCATATCTCCACCATCACTGACTGTAATCTCTGCCATCCACATGAGCATTTTTTCTGCAGAGCAACTGCACAACTCGAGGTTTTCACAGACCTGCCCTCCTGCCCAAGAGAAACCAGGCAGTCCCAGGTTCCCCATCCATAAATTAGGGAACACAGATCTCCTAGCAGTCAGGGCAGGAAGACTAGTGTGTGCCACCTTGCACCTTTGCCGAGTTCTTTATTCTTTCAGTCTTCACTGATTCAGCTTTGATTCTGTCATATACAATCCATTTTGCTCTATTTTCAAATCACTGCCAAGATCTTTACCAGTATCTTTAATATGTCAACAGTGTTCCAGCAGCAAGCAAGTAAGCTCGAGGGCTTCAAAAGTACAGTGGTTACCATGCTTCAAGCTAAGCAAAGAACATTTTAATTTTCACCTGTTCATCTTCACATGGGGAGCTTTTCTTGTACCAATACTCCCCCGAACTGCTCTTGGTAACTTTGCATTTTCATCAGCATGTACAAACATTGTTTTGAGTTATACCATAAACAAATATGAAGAAAAATGGCTTTTCCCGCAACAGTCTCAATGGGTTCCTTTTAATTAAAATCAGTTTAATGATTGATAAGCTCTAGTATTTCCAGCAGCAAATTTTAAGTGGTTGACTGTTTTCAGATACAGTGAAAAAACTGAAGATAATAGAACTACATAAGCTAGCATGTTTAGTTCGTTTACTGGTTGTCAAACACAGGAAAAAGTGAGGGTTTAACATGTAAATTGTCATGACCAAGAGCAAAAATTCAACAACTACTTTGTAGGAATCAGAAAGTTCAACTATATTAACTTACAGAATCACTGCTTCCAATGCTTACTCTTAACTTCTTACTTTTGACATTCTTCCTACATCAGAAACCAATGAGCATGAATTTTAAGTATTGGTTAATATCTAGCAGGAGGGGACGTCCCACACAAACTCAGTACATTTGCTACTTTTAAGTGTTCTTCACTCATGCCCCTTAAGCAAATGGAAGAACACTGCAAATACCTTTTTCCTAGTATCCTTCATTTGAGCTTGAGGAGGCAGCAAAAGGCAACCCAGTGTGCCAGTGCACACATGAATAAAAACACCTCTTCCTTATAAACAGAACAAATGCATCTGCAGCTGATTTAAGCTTAGCCATACAACAAAGTTTCATTCAACACTGCAGGGAAAATAGGACAGCGGGTACACAGGAGTGTGGAATCCTAAAGCTCTAACAAGATCTTCCCTCTTCCTGCATGTATCTTCCTCAGCCACAATCAGCAAGGATGTAGGTGCTGTTTGAAACAGCTGCTGCATCCACCTGTGCTTCCTCAGATAGTGCTGGTGGGAGGAGACAACACACAAGAGGGAGCATTTCCTCTTTTGTACTGTTATTTTATTTTGTAGCAAGATCCATGTAGTATATAAAATATAACAGGAAAACTGAACAAAGCCTATAAAATAAATTGAGTTCAGATGACAAACCACTACAGTTCTGCTTCTGTGGCTTTGATGATGTCACCAGAACTCATGTACTGTTTACCTTGTACTTTTACAGTTCTCTAGCGTATGAACCTACATAAAAAGCTGATATGTTCCAATTAAGCCATAGTTAAGTGACAGATGTAGAGAAATAAATGGCTTTTTTAAGCCACAGCTGCCCTTGACACAGGTTACAATGATGTCTAACTATACCGTAATGCACATTACATCAAGAACCTTGAAAGAGCCTCTGAGAAAACAGGTTCACATTAAGCATTTTAAAGAAAGGTCATAAATACTGCACTGTGCCAACAGTACCTCCCAATGTCCTCCTTATGCCTGAGGAGCATTTGTGGTTTTTAAGAAGCTACTACATAGATGACACCAAACCTAGAGGTAGGTTATAGGCAAAGGTAAGTTACAGGCAAAAAAAAAAAAAATCCCTTTAGAGCTCGTCACTGCACAAACTGCCCAGCAGGAGGCAAGGCAAAATGCAAACTCTTTCCTCCCACCTTTAACATCGCTCACACCATGCAGTTTAATTTCTAGTGCCCTAAGAATGACAGTGGATCATCAGCTGCTAGTAAATGCAGTCATGCCAAGAGAACAGCTTGAAGTTATTCAAGCAAAAATCTGTTACTGTGCAAAACTGGTGCACTGGACTGTTACCAACTAGACCTCCAAGTGTAAGAAGGAACCTGATGATAGAGAACTAAGGTGTTTGCTTTCCTTTTGACATGGGAAATACTCTACATAATCAACAGGAGAACATACTGCTACACCTATGTGGAAGGAGCCAAACATCAGCTCATCTTAAAGGTTAGAGAGACAAGAAAAAATTTTGAGAAAGGTTAAAAAAACAGCACACTTATTCCAAGTTTTTTTTTTTTAAAAGTTACTGTACTAAACAAGCTGGTGAAACAGCTTGCCTTCGGTATCATACGGGATCAACATAGGGCACACTTCAGCATGGATCAGAAACACATCTGCAAGGACAACTGCTAACTGCAGATCAAACCCCAGTTTTAATGGTGTAATGGCTTCAGGTCATAAAATGTGGACAAAACTTTAATCTTAACTACCTTCTGTGCCCTATTTGGTGATAATCAGAAAGTAACAATGCTGACAATTAATTTTATTTCTACTTCCAAAGGAAAAAGGGAAAAGGTTAAATACGTGTTCTCCAATTTGTTCTCCACTATATGTACACCCATACACTTACACACACGCACATGCACACACCCCTCAAACTGCACTGACATTTCTTTTTGACCAAAAGAGTAGATCCTGGGAGTAAGTGCAAAATGCAAAATCAACTGACAGAAAATGCTGAACAAACAGCATCATAAAAATACAAAATATTTATATTACTGAACTATTAACAGATGATGTTCTCTGTTTCTTTAAAACTTTGGAACCACATAGCTGATTTCTTAAATCTAGTCCATGCCAGCTTCCAGAACTATTAATGATCTAGTTAGCTTCATTCTTTGATGCTTCATCAAAGTTTTCTACGAGATCTGAAAGAGATGAAGATATTTAATACAGTAATAGCCAGGAACATTACCTTTGTAAGATCAATGACAACACATACATTATAGGAAAGATTAAGTAGTCCTTAACTAGTCTGAGAAACATCATTTATTATGGGCAGATTTCAAATGGCTTTAGAAAACAGGGCTTGTTTGAACATAGGCAAAGAACTGAAAATGCAGAACACTCAAGAGTGGAAGTTCTAACATGAATATTCTGATTTTTCACAGGTGCTTTACAAGCCTCAGTAGCTTGAGTCCTGAGCCATCACATTCTTTAAAGAATGCCTCAAGTTAAGCACCTATTAATTGCTGTACTCCAGGAAAAATAAGAATTTTGGGGAGAACCAAATGTATATGCAAGGTCACAAAGAAATAAACCAGAGCCAGCACAGGAGACATGGAACCTCTGAGTGCACCAGTTTGTTGATTTAGCCAATACACCACACTGATGGATACAGAAGAATGTGGTGATTGACAGACAGTTACTGACGAATTAAGAACGGACAACATTAATTTACTGAGAAGCTTTCAGACACTGACATAAGCTTTGCTTCTTCTACTAGGGAAGTAAGAATCCCTGCTCTAGACTCTGATTTAAAGACAAGGTGATGACTATGTCAATCATGTAATTCTGCAGCCCTAAAACCCTATTTGGATATTTAGAATACCTGTTTAACCTCCCTGAAACTATTTTAACCTATTTTCATTTAAGAATTAATCAATTTGCACAGGGTAAGCCTTTTTTTGCAAAAGCTGGAATGCAAAGTCACCCATGGTTTAATGCTGCCCAGTACATGAAGCCTTTCTTAGACAAGCAGTACAGTCACATCAAGAGCTAAGTATTTAAATGTATTAATTGAAATATTTATACATTCAACAGACATATAAGCGTGCATGTGCCTACCTGGGACATCATCATCTTCTTCATCAATATCTTCAGATTTTGGTGCTTTACTATCCAACACTATAAAAAGAAATTTGGTGCAAAGTTCTCATTATACAGAATTAGGGATGACAATAACACAATAATAACTGTAACACACAAACCTTAACAGTGACAAATACAAATGACTGGGTATCAACAGCAATCAGCATGACCAAAAGGTCTATTTGTGAACATTCTTATACTGAAGTATTAGCACAGCCATTTTCAAACACTTAGGGGTATTAATGCAGAACTAGCAAAAGATTCAAGTGTTACAGAAAAAACCCAGTATGACTAAGTCTTCTAACTGAAGTCATGTGTTTCAATGCAACAATAATGCTGTATCAATCAGGGACCAACTTATCACATGATTCAAACATCAAGAAACCACAACTGCAGGAAAAAGTACTTGCATACATCCATACATATTTCCTGCATCAAACCTAGTCTAAGTTCTGGAAGCTGAAGCATGCCACAAGTAATCTAGATAAATGTCAGAATGTAAAAAATAAAAAAAACCCACTTCTTATCATTGGTCTGACTTCCTGTACTATCTAAAGCAAGTACACCTCTTGGTACTGAGGCTGTGTTGAAGAAATGTTTATAGCGATCCATCTTTCTACATTTTCAAAGGTATTTTACATGTTATATTAACACATTAATGTATTAAAGAACATCAATACATTAAAACATGTAATATATTTTCCAGTTCCAAATAAAGACAACAGCAATGTGTCCAATGACAGTTTTTCTAAAAGCCAACACTCTTAGCAGGATAAATATGAAACCCAAATTTTAATGCCTAACTTCACCAGGGCTTCACTTCAGACTTCAAGAACTATTTTTTGGCAATATATAGAACAAGAAACATGAACTCGGCTACAGCTACTCACAATGAAAACTGTACCTGTTCTGCAGTCTAAGGATGTTTTTACAAACCCATATGAAAGTCAACAGACTGATTGCTTGTGCATGGCTAAAGTACTCTCATGTTCTAGTTTCATAACAAACATAATTGTAAGAATATGTTTCCATCTATTCTTAAATAACCCAAGGAGGGTATTATTCTAAAAGGGCCTGTCCCCAGACTCCATTTCTTCACTGTAAGTTTATAGTAATAGTTATACCACATACACACACCAGGCTCCTATTGTTTTAAAATGAGTATAAAATAATCACATTAAAAATGCTGATTTTCCCCCCCCAAAGTCAAACTGTGAATTTGCTTTCCTACATATTTTGTTACAGACAGTTGCACCTGGAACCACAGCATGCTCAACTTCCCAGATTTTATTTATTGTTTTTTAAAATCACAGCTGCCTATTTAGAATCTTGAATCTACAAGGGAAAAAGTCTCCCCATTATAATTCTGTAACAATGGCAAATACATAAAAAGTTATCAAGAGCAAATGTGCTTTTAGTCATACCACTGTAAATTTGGGTCAATGCTTCATACTGTTCCTTAAATCAGTGATGAAAGATGCCAAGAAGACCTACCTTGTCTTGGGAATTGTTCAGCTAACTTCCTGAGACTTGTTAAGCTGTCAGCACCAAGCTGGCTCAAGATGCCTGGAAGCATTTCTGTGATCGGTTTAGCCTCTGCATGACCAGTAATTGCAAAAGTGTTGGCGGAGAGGGAAGCTTGAACCTTGGGGTTGTTGAAGTGAATAACTGTTCCATCATCTTTTATCATGTTCACCTGTTTAAATATATTAATAACATTTATTAAAATGTCACAGCATCTTGTTGAACAGGCATGATAAACTATTAGTTCAAGCTAGATTTAAATTATTAAAACAAAAAAAAAAAGTAAAAACTAATACTCCTCCAAGAGGATAATGTAATCATGACAGCAGCATCTGGAATTAATGCCATCTAAACCGGATGTAAAATATGAGTTAAAGATAAAATAAAGGTTCATATATACTATATGGAAAGGTAGAATTTAAGAGCTACAGCTCTTTCATAAAATACACTTTTCTAAATATTATTAAGCATGGTTATTCTCTAAATAAGCATAGTTATATGTTATCATACAGTTAATGTGTATTTTTAGCAAAGGCAAAGCACAAATTATTAGACTGTAAGTCATGAATGAGTTAATACCAGGAATGTCAAAGGAAAAAAAACACAACAAAACCTTCAGCTCTGTGGTAACTCTTTACAAACTAAAAGCTCTAACAGAAATGCCTTGCCACATCAGTTTAAGACATCACCATTCCCAGCTATCTGTGTCACCTATCAGGAAAATGTTATTGTTTCTGCAGCAGAACTGGCAAAAGTACAAGATTCACAATCTGGACTACTTGCTGAAGCTGCCCAAGGCAAGGATCCACACAGAACTGTAGGGTTATGTACTGACTCCATGAGAACCACCTCCTTTCTGTGTCTTCCCAGTAACTCCACAAAGATTCTTTAAGTATATCTGTGAGATGCTGCTCTCTTCCTCCTCCCTGGTCTTCTGAATCACCAAGAATCAAGTTTAACAGCCAGTATAGCAGCCTGTTCTGCTCCTACTGCCACAGTTTATACTGGCACGTTTTTAAGGGTTTGTTTTGGTTTTGTCTCTTTTTTTGTTTGATTTTTTACTTAAAAGGGAGACAGAATGGAAAGTTAAAAAGAACTTTCTTTTGGTCTAAAGTACAGTGAAGTGGAAAATAATTTTGTATGGAAAAAGAAGTGTTCTACCCATCAAACCAAACAGTAGTAATAAATCTGTCACAGAACTCATAAGTATTGTTTTCAGTAGAAGTTCACAGAATCATAGAATCATTAACTTTGGAAGGGACCTTAAAGATCATCAAGTTCCAAACCCCCTGCCATAAGCAGGGAATCCTACCACGAGACCAGGCTACACAAAACCTCATCCAACTTGGCCTTAAAAACATCCATGAATGGGGTATCAACAACCTCCCGGGGCAACCCATTCCAGTTCCTCACCACCCTTATAGCTAAGAATTTCTTCCTAATATCTAACCTAAGTCTCTCCTCTCTCAGTTTAAAACCATTACCCCTTGTCCTATCACTATCTTATCTGATGAAAAGCCCCTCCCCAGCTTTTCTGTAGCCCCTTTCAAGTACTGGAAGTCATTATAAGATCTCTCTGGAGCCTTCTCTTCTCTGGGCTGAACAGCCCCAACTCCCTCAGCCTGTCTTCATAGCAGAGCTGCTCCAGGCCTTTGATCAACTTGGTGGGCCTTCTCTAGACCCTTTCCAACAGGTCTGTTCTTTCTTGTGCTGAGAAGTTACAGGGAGAAAAAAAAAATTTGGGAAGGAGATATCTAAACTATGCAAACATTCAGTTACCAGTCTTCACACAGCAGCAGAGTTCAAAATGAGCTTTGAACAGGAAAACCAAGTGTGTGCTGCTTTCCTGCAAAACTAGAGGATGACCTGTTCCTTATGCATGGCAAAACCATAAAGGCTTCAAGCACTGCCACCCTCTTACTAAAAAGCCTTTTAAAAACCACCCAGATGAACTATTAATGTTTGACTCAACACTACTAGCCTTCCCAAACTCATCTGCCTACAAATTTACCAAGGTCAACTTGTGTCCACCTGAATACAACATACTGCAATTACGTACCTAGTTATCAAGTCAGAAGTATATTCCATTATCTTTCTTCATATCAGGACATTGTCAATTATTAGTAATTGTGTCTGAGTAAAGATCTTATGCTTGGGAAGGGGATGGAGGGGGAGAGGAGGCAGGGAACCCAGACCAAAACAGAACCGTCTTTGAGTTCATATAGCTCAACATATACATATCAAGCTTAAGTAAACAGACAAACTAAACTGTTTCTGTAGCAGAGCTGGGAAAACATCGAGGCAAACCAGGCTTCTACAGTGAATCTGTATGTGCCTTTGGAAAAGTGGTATGCACGAAGTGACCTCTGGAGGTACCTTGCAATCCTGCTTGAAATTATCACAGATTAAAAATAAAATATATATAATTACTACAGTAATATTGAGTTCACGATGAAGTAACATATCCTCCTCCTCCTCCCACATAAAAGCATCACTCTACAGTGTTACAGAAAATGTGTCAGTTTGTATTTTAGACATGTAAAATAGACACATTGAAGGAATATCTCAAACCTTTATATTCCTGCTTACAACACAGAAGCTGCTTCCATAAAGTCTTCCTGTATTGTAAGAAATGTTATCTCCTGTGAGTACCACAAACCATCCTGATAGTTTTCCTGCAGTACAAGGACCTAATTTTGATAATACAGACTAACAAGTTCCTACTCCAGATGGTTTTCTTTATATTCTGCATCACTCAACTCTTGCTTTAGATGTGATGCAGAGTACACGTGTCTACTACTCTTTAAAATAGGTAATCAAGTTCATGAAGCCAAGAATCAAGAGAAGTTTTGTTTTGCAGTGTACACATAACACAACAAACATCACAAACAGCTTACTAGCTCCTGCAATCATCAGCTGGCCAGCAGAACCTTCACCCTTCTCTCTCTAGATATGCATCTATGCATTAATGCAAATGAGGCAACGAGTCAAATAACTTCACCTACCAGGAACCCAACCTTTAAGTTTGAATGGAAAATTGTTCTTAAAAAAAAAACAAACCAGAAACAGTGTATTTCATTTCAAACAGGAAACACTTATTTTCTCACTATACCTCTTCAATGCCAGCAATATTATTTACTGCCAATTTTTTGAGGGAACTCTGAAGTTTTTTATCATCAGCTGTGGCTGTTCTGTGCACCACCTTCTTCTTTCTGCGAGCTGTTCCCTGGAAAAGAATCAAGGCACAACAGTCAGCTGTTCTCAAAATCTCACGCTTTAATTTTTGAAAGTCCTATCATGCTCTTAGTCACTTATCTATAAGCTTTCAGTCAGCTCTGTAGTCAAAAAGGGCTTTTCAACTTACTTTCCCTTCACCTACAGCTTTAACTCCCAATTTTATGTTTTTGTTAAGTGTAAAAGATCAAAGAGACACTGAACAGCAACATTTTTCCCTTCCCACAAGCTAGATTACAAAAAGACCCTATTTATTGTTAAGCAACATAAGAAGTTTCACCAAGAGCTTTATCTTTCCCAATATATAGCACAGATACAGCGATTTAAGGTCACACTTTCGTAACCAAGCCATTAACATTTTTTAACTGTTCCACAGACAGCAGCATTAAAATTCCTACTCTGCAAACTTCTGTACAACCCCACCTACGGTGAGGAGATGAACACCCACGCTGAACAAACTATGTGCTCTTTTGTCACATTAACTACCTGCTGGCTCAGAGAAAAGAAACAGCTCAGTGCAGAGTCAGATAAGCCCTGAAGCTGGCACAAAGGAAGGAACTCCCCAATAGGGAGAAGAGAAAGGCAGAACTGGAACAACCAACAGGTAAGTTTAGCTTAGGCTTTCACAGGTCACAACAAGTCACTGAATTAAAATGAAAGCTTGCACACTGTGGTAACTACTCATCCAGCAGTTATGAACTGGAACAAAATTGCATGTCAGGTGGCAGCACTATGATCCAAATCACACACAAAAAACCTGCATTTTTCAGCCTTCAAACATTTATTTTTTTTTTCCTCCCTCACAGGAACTAACGCCTATGTCTTGAAAAACAAATTTCAGAGATATTTCTCCTTCAACCTGTAAATGATAGGAGACAATTAATCTGTGATGGCTTTCTTACCTTTCCTCCTATTCGGACCTGTGCCTGAAGCTTGGCCAGTTTTTCTTGATTCATAGTGCTGTATCTAAAAAATAAGAATGGGACAGAAATGCAAGATAACTTATAAGGATACTAAGAAAAAGTGTTCATAGTCCATTTACAACCACACCACCTAAATAATACAAAGTGGTCCAGCAGCAGTCTTTTCAACTAAAGCATCGGTACGATGATGAGGCAAATCAACACATTTTGTTTTGCATCAGAAGCACTAACTGCAAGTTTCCAGGTATGCCACTCCTGTTAAAACCATCTGATTTAAGTACCCTTTCAGTACAGACCCAAACCAGCACGTACCGCACGTGTGCTCCTAAGAAAACACTACACTACTTACAACGCTATTTCCAAATTATGAATCCCTGATGCTTTTAACTACTAAGCCAGCTCCGAAGTCAGGAAAGTTCGTGTCAGAGGTTCCTACATGAACATCTAGCAGCGATTCATCCAATTCAATGGCCGGGAAGTTAAGAGTCAAGTGGCTGCTCCAACAGCCGGGTGGGATCCTTAAAGGACTAAAAGACCTAAAAAAATCTGTAACGGGTGAAAAAACACGTCCAGTTTCCCAAAATATGAAGGCATTTCGCTACTCTGCCTCGAGAAGTTATCAGAGATCGCCGGAACGAAGGGGAAACTCCCTTTGCACTTGCATCGTGCCAGGGAAGCGACGGCGAAAGGAAACAGGGAGCAAGGGGGCGAACAGCGGGGCCCCAGCAGCGCAGAGGCGACCACCACACGGGCTGTGGCTCCGGCGGGAGGGAGAAGGGGCCCAGGCCGGCTCGCTGGCTGCCCCCGAGCACGGGGAGTGAGGGGAATAAAGGCCCCATGCCTCGGGAGCCAGGGCAACCCTAC